AATAAAGAAATTCTGATAGTTTAGTGCACAAAAATTGACATCACAGGTAAATATCACCAAAGTACATTTAGGTATAAATGCATGTTCATAAATCTTTACTCCTCACACTTCAGATAGAGCCCTAATATCCAGAGTATACAAAGAACTCAAAAAATTAGACAATAAGAAAACAAATAACCCAATCAACAAATGGGTCAAGGACCTGAACAGACACTTCTCAGAGGAGGACATACAATCAATCAACAAGTACATGAAAAAATGCTCACCATCTCTAGCAGTCAGAGAAATGCAAATCAAAACCACCCTAAGATACCATCTCACTCCAGTAAGATTGGCAGCCATTATGAAGTCAAACAACAACACTTGCTGGTGAGGATGTGGGGAAAAGGGTACTCTTGTACATTGCTGGTGGGACTGCAAATTGGTGCGTCCAATTTGGAAAGCAGTATGGAGATTCCTGGGAAAGCTGGGAATGGAACCACCATTTGACCCAGCTATTCCTCTTCTTGGACTATTCCATGAAGACCTTAAAAGAGCTTACTATAGGGATACTGCTACATCTCTGTTCATAGCAGCACAATTCACAATAGCTAGACTGTGGAACCAACTTAGATGCCCTTCAATAGATTAATGGATTAAAAAAATGTGGCATTTATACACAATGGAGTAGTACTCAGCACTAAAAAATGACAAAATCATGGAATTTGCAGGGAAATGGATGGCACTAGAGCAGATTATGCTAAGTGAATTTAGTCAATCCCTAAAAACAAATGCCAAATGTCTTCTTTGATATAAGGAGAGCAACTAAAAACAGAGCAGAGAGGAAGAGCATGAGAAAAAGATTAACATTAAACAGGGATGAGAGGTGGGAGAGAAAGGGAGAGAGAAGGAAAATTGCATGGAAATGGATGGAGACCCTCATTGTTATACAAAATTACATATAAGAGGATGTGAAGGGAAAGGGAAAAAAATCAAGGGAGAGAAATGAATTACAGTAGATGAGGTAGAGAGAGAAAATGGGAGGGGAGGAGATGGGGGATAGTAGAGGATAGGAAAGGCAACAGAATACAACAGACACTAGTATGGCAATATGTAAAAACGTGGATATGTAACCGATGTGATTCTGCAATCTGTATATGGGGTAAATATGGGAGTTCATAACCCACTTGAATCAAATGTTTGAAATATGATATGTCAAGAGCTTTGTAATGTTTTGAACAACCAGGAAAAAACAATTAAAATAAATAAATAAATAAATGCATGTTCATGCATAAAAATGGATAGTATATCACTCCATAAAACAAGTGTTCTTGAAATAAATTTTCAAGTCAGCACAAGGTTAAAGTGTACATCAAAATTCCAAATCAAAGGATAAGTATTATATGTGAACGGTTGATAAACATCGAAACTTTTGAACATACTTAATTTTTAATAGTGCCATAATAAGGTTATTTTGTTAGTCATGCATTGTTAATTATTGAGTACAAGTGAGGAATCCAAATCTCAGTGACTTAATACAAGTTTATGTCTGGATCTCAAATAGGTGAACAGCAATGATTAGTGAGTGATCTTACTTTTGGGCCAGTTATGTCCTGCTGGACAATGGGAGAAGACTAAGATTGACCAGGCAGATGAAGCTTTTACTGGTCATATCTGGAATCATCAACCTGTGCAAACTTCTATTCTATTAGCCCAACTCACCTTTGTTAGAAAATGAAATCTACCTATGTGTATAATGGGCAAGAGAAAAATTTAGTGAAAAATAAATTAGATTCTGCCAAAGTTAGCAAAAAAATAACTAAATAAAATAAAATAAAGAAAGAAAGGAAAAGAAAAGATTAAAAATGTCATCAGTAGTTACTGATTTCTAAAATTAACAATTTGAAGTAAAAAGCTGGGCATAAAGTTGCAATAAAAACCAGCATAGTTTACTAAGGGGAACTAGTAAGTAATTATTTATATTATTAAAAATGTCTCAAAATTACTATCTCCATTCTCAACACTGGAGTTAGAGGGGAAATGAATTAAATAACTAACAGAAGAATTTAAAAAGAAATTTCTAAAACACTACAGGAAGAAGCCATGCAAAATCGTGCAAATGAGAGATAACAATATAAACATGAGAACAGCCCTTCATACTAAGTCCTAAAATGCATAACACAAAAAAATCCAAAGAAAAACAAATCAAATACACTGTATCAAAATTAAATTCAAAACGGGGTAAAAGACTGTGTTATTAATCAGGACAGTGATAACACAATGGAGGGCAGTGGTTAGGGGAGCCCCGGGCTTGGAGCTTCTGTTCTCCTGGGAGTACTCTATTCTTTTATTTGGATATTTGGTCATATAACTATTTGTACCTTTTTGGTGGTCACTTATTCTTATAATTCTTATAATGACAAATCACTTCCATTTGTGTGTTCTATTTCCATAAAATATTTTAAAGCCAAATATTTTTATTACAGAAAAAAAATCATAATTTATTAATGAATTACCATGAACATTTTCAAAACTGTTTTGAACTGAGGACTAAAACCACAAGACTTGTTAAAAAAAAAATATATATATATAGGGAGACTTGCATAACTGTGAAGACAGGTCTGGTCTTGTTATGGTGATTGATTTGGTTCATCAAATCAGGATGTATCAGTGTAGGGAGATATACCCCTTCCAGTTGGTGGGAAGTGAATCCCTTTGCCAGCAATTGAAGGGCAGAAAGGACGTCACTACAAGTACAAAGGTTAAGAGACAGAGGCCAGAGCCCTGATTAAATCAGGCTACTGTTCTTATGCACAAATTCTTTCATATAAACTAATAATCATTCTTATTGAAACACCTCTCTCTGTAAAGAAGACTTCCTTTCTTTTCCATGAATGCCTTCAGGAATTTTATGTTTCACCAACTCAGAAAGTCTTTAGTCAATATTTCCGCCAATAATGCTCCATTCTTTCTCCCATCTGTCTAATCTCTAGGTTCAAAATTTCTAATACCAAGCATTCTAGAACTGTTTTCATAACCACAGAGACTTTCCACTACAGGCCCTTCCAAACAAGAGGTCTTCTGCTGGCAGGCAAACATGTTCACCTCTCTTCTTTCATTGTCACTGTTTGTCTTTCCCCACCAAGAATGGGTTCTGCTTTGAAGTAGGGGCTGTGCCCTCCTGGAGTGGTTCCCACTTGACTTAAGGAGTGAATTAAAACTGTGTCTCACAGATGAACTGTCTCTAAAATAATGAAAAAGCACAGTGATGAGGATGCTTGTTTTCACAGATACTCTCCTTGGGTTCTATAATTCTTGGCACCCAATCAGATTACACAGAGAAGCTCAATAGTTTCAGCCAGTTTCTTTGTTTCACAAAATAATAGCTTGACTCTGAGAGTCTCTTCTCAGAAAAAAAAAAAAAAGGATCTCCCTCTGGGCAGTTAAAAAACAATCCTTGAAGGATAATGTTTGATCATGAAACAATGGTGTTAAGGTTAAAGCCAATAATTCCCTGACACCAATATTTAAATGCAGGGTGTAAATTGTCAGGCCACTTTTGCTTTCATCCTATTCAATAGGAGTCAGCATGCAAGATGTTAGACTACTGAGGCATAAATGCAGGGCTTTAAGGGGTACAACATAATCAGGAGACATAACAAAAGAAAGTCAATCAACCCAGTGCTGAGACTACAAACAAATGATGAGGGTCATTTTTGTTTAATAAATTTAATTCACAGGGTTACAAAAAAAATGCAGAATATCAGAAGAAGTTATAGGCACTAATCTAATTCTTTCACAGTTGACAGTCAAATCTGTTGTTATAAGTGGTCAACCAGTTTATGTTCAAACATCTCCATTGATGAGATAGCATTATCTCTGGAGACATGGGGTTTTCTTTGGGGGCACATCTCATTATAAGAAAGTTCTTTGAACTTTATAACCAAATAAAATCATCCTAGAAGATTCAAATGTTCATCTATTCGTTATCCCTTTGAATTACAAAATGCAAAATAAAAATTCATTTATATGTTAGTGTCCCATTATAATTTTCAAAACAATCCTGTAATGGAAGCATTATAGTTATTTCATATTTACACATACTAGCCTCATAGAATATAAGAAACTTATACAAGTTCATATCTCTAGGAACTGTCCTGCCGACACACTGTGATCAGAATGATCAAAGTGGTTAGCTGAGTGTATTCTGAGATTCAAGGGATAATAAAGTAAAATGGCTTTTCTATCTTTTTGCTTATTCTATATTGTTTATATTAGGAATGTGGGTTATTTGCCAGACATGTATGCAGTGGTGGAATCTCATGCAGCCTATAATTTGCAGATGAAGATACAAATACAATCAGACAGACAAACATATAAATGATAAATATATAAACCACTGTGAGAGACACTTAAGAAAAATAAGTGGTTTTGAAGGGCATGTTAACGTGGTTTTTATGACCAATTGGGAAAGTTTGGACCCCATGAGTGAGGTGGACCTTGTTTAAAGAATAGTAAGGCCTTAAGTGTTTGAAAGTGAGAGAGAAAGTTTCAGTGCTGTTCAAACTGGATGGACACATTGGGGCCCATGTTGATGAAAAGATTAAAACTTAGAACAGCAGGAATCCATTGAATTATTTGAATGGGGCTGGGAAAGGGATTAGATTCACGTTTTCAAAGGTTCAGTGTTGTTGGCTATTTAAATACTTCATTGTTTATTTTGTCTTGCAGATGATTTGATTTGTACCTTTATTTTTATTTATTTATTTTTTGGCAGGGGTGAGGGGTTACTGGGGATTGAATTCAGGGGCACTCAAACACTGACAAACGTCCCCAGCCCTATTTTGTATATTTTTTAAGAGACAGGGTCTCACTGAGTTGCTTAGCACCTTCTTTTTGCTGAGGCTAACTTTGAAGTGGCAATCCATCTGCCTCAGTCTCCTGAGTACTGGGATCACAGGCATGCGCACAATGCCTGGCTGATATCTAGCTTTTTAAGCAAGTCAGAAAGTCTGACTTACCTTCAAAGCCTTCATTCCTCTTCAGCCACAACTGACTAATACTGAGTAACTGAAGCCTCTTTCAGATTGGGCAGGTATTTGCAGTTGGCATTTGTACTCAGGGCTTCAGCTTCAATCCTGTGCTTTACCTGCCTGGACCCTGAAAAAATTGTCTCTGACTGCACAATAGAGTACGTCATAATGAACACTAACTATACCAAACTGGGTCTAACCCTAACTATATTTGAAGCATTATAGGAATCACTTCACATCTCTAAAATGTTGCATCTTTATCTAGAATTTTATACATTTATCTATAAAATTCTTTGGTTGAAATTCATGATTTCTAACGTTCCTTTCAGCTCTAAAATTTGCACAGATTATTTTATTTCTAGCACTACATTTTATAATTTTTTGATTTGACCTGAGAACTTCTTATTGTTTTCTGCTCCTGGCACATTAACAAAGAACAACAGGTACTTTTCCTATGTCCTACAGTTGGGAAATACAACTAAGAGTTTAGAATATAAAGAATAAACCAAGTGTCTCAAACTCAAATACCTGCAGGAGTCAAGTGTGGAACATAGACAAAGGAAGCATGCCAATAGAGACACTTCAAGTTGGAGACTACAGGGCGTGGGTGAATGGAAATTTTCTGCTCATCCAGCTGATGTAAAGCAATGCATGTCTCAAATGGCCAAGTCCTCTTATTTTTTTTATAAAAAAGCCAATAATCATGATTATGTGTTGTGATAGTTTTTCATCACTATGACAAGACCTGAGATAATGTAGAAAAAAGAAATGTTGACATGACTCATGGTTTAGGGATTTTGGTCCATGATCACTTCACTCTGTTTCACATGTGCCTGTGGCAAGACAGAACATCATGATGAGAGCACGTGGCTGTGGAAACTGCTCACCCCATAGCAGCCAGGAATCAAAGAATGGGAGTGGGAGGCTGGGGTATCTGTTCAAAGACATACATACCCCCTACCCCTGCAATGACCTCACTTTCTTCTAAAATGAGGCCCCCACCTCTTATAGGTTCCACCACCTCCCAGTAGCACTATGAGCTGGTGACCAAACTTGAAACATATACATCTTTGGGGGACACCTATCCAAACCATACCAGGTATGAAATCCTATTTTTCAAGTGTTGGCAATAAATTCTTTTGAAAATATTACATGGTGACAAATTAAACAAGACTGCATATCATGTGTTCACCATGAATTAAACTTCTCACCTTTAACTTCTCATCCACCCCTGGCTGCTGTTTCTAACCTTAATCTTTACTTTGTTACCAGCTGCCTCCTATTTCCCAGGTTTTGCTAACAAATGCCCATCTCTGGGGTGGTCCCATGACCAGCTGCATTAGCAACACCTGGGAATTTGTTGTAAGTCCAAATCCCTGTGCTCTACCTTAGAATTGTTTAATCAGAAACTCTGGAGGTGGGGGCTCAACATCTGAATTAACCAGTCTCACTGGTATTTCTGATGCCTGCTAACATTTGAGGACTTCTGAGCAAGACCACTGCAGAGAGCATTTGGTTCTTAGTTAAAGGCTGCACATTAGAATCAGAAGGGAGATTGCTGATCTCATTTTGAAAAGCATATCACTAAAACCATTTAATTTGTCTGGGATGGCACTTGGTTATTTGTAAATTTTTAAATTCATTTAAAGTTTGGACAGGTGAAAGCTGCTGGATTAGCCCATCAGGGAAATAAACTCCAGCTAAAAGAAAAAGATTTTCCAAGCCAGGGAAGATCAAGAATTGTTAGATTGTTCTTTGGGTTCCCAAATTCCTGAAATATGGCTGACTTAGGAAAGCATAGTGACAGCTGTGGAATTGTAATATTTTGTAGGTATTGAGAGGAGAATATTCCTAACCACCAATGTTAGAGGAGAACTCAGCGTTTAGAGGTTTTGTGAACCAGCATACTGGGATCTGTGTAGGGTATGGAGATTAAGGAGGGGGAAAAGGCAAATTTAGTCACAGGCATGAACCACGGCCCAGGTCTTTTCCCTGTTCTGACACCATACACCATGGGATGCTCATGTGTTACGTTGGGACAAGGCAGCTCCAATTCCAGGTGTAAGTATGTTGCCATAAGACAAGAGCCTAGTTTTCTTTTCTAAATTCAAATTCTAGAAAACAAATTCTATAATTTAATAGTTTTCTTTTATTTTCAGATTCACAGAGAATAAAGCCATTGATCATGAAATTCTCTTTAATATTTTACAGCATGACTTAAAAATAACTACTTGCTGACTTTTAGTATTTAAAGTTAATATTTAGAAATTTTTGGTTTATTCAGTTTCATCATCAAAGAAAGAAGAAATATAATATCATGATTCTAAATGTGTGCCTCTAATATGAAAATATTCTCATTTTAATTTAAGAATAACCTTAAAAAGTCTAATTTAAAAATTTTCATTTATGAAATTATACCTTTAAGGGAATGTGTATTTAACCTTTAGCACTGGAAAAATCAGTATATATTAAGAAAAAAAAAACGAGTTAAAATGTATATCTAAATATTAAGCACAATGTCAAGTAAAATTTTTTAAATTATAAAAATAGGTATTTAATTGAGTCATTCAATATTGTAACATGCAAGTAATGGATAGTGTCTCAGGTCAGCATGGCTCTTGTAAGCTTACAATTCTGAAAAACTGCAATAGAGAATAATATATAAGGAAGAAATCTAAAATTCACTCAGCCAAATTCAATGAAAAAAAAAATGTTTGTGGTGATGGAGATGCTAAATAGCCTGATATTATTGTTACACAATTAAACATGCATTGAAGCATCACATATACTCTGTGAATATGTGAGATTATTATGTGTCAATTATTTAAAATATTTTTTAGTTGTCAACAGGCCTTTATTTTCTTTTTATTTATAGGCAGTGCTGAGAATCCAATCTAGCACCTCACACTTGGTAGGCAAGTGCTCTACCACTGAACCATAACCCCAGTCCTATGTGTCAATTTAAAAATAAAACAGTAGGGGGCTGGGGATGTGGCTCAAGCGGTAGCGTGCTCGCTTGGCATGTGTGTGGCCCAGGTTCGATCCTTAGCACCACATACAAACAAAGATGTTGTGTCCACCAAGAACTAAAAAATAAATATTTAAAAAAAATAAAAATAAAACAGTAGGAAAAAAATTTAGAGCAAAAGTTTTATAAACCGTAAGTATTTCATTGAACAGAGCCAAACTCACTGTCTGTATGCCTGGAAGAAGGTAAGCAAAAAACAAACAAAATTCACATGCAGACAAATTCCCCACTAACAAGCTGGAACAGTTTAATAAGACCACCATGGACTTGGGAGTCTCAGGGTAAACCACTCACTGACAGAGATGTAGTCAAGCTACCTAGTATCTCTGGGTCAGGTTCTGCCCAAGATCACAACCTCACATGGTAATAAGTGGGATATTTTTCAAAGTATCTAATAGAGCTGGAAAGAGCAAAAGGAAAGAGAGAGAAAGAGAGAGAGAGAGAAAGAGAGTGAGAGAGAGAGAGAGACTGAAGTTTACTCAAGTAAAGCCTCCATATCCAAGTATCTAAACACATATAAAAAGCCATACAGCAACAGAAACTATAGGGCAAGATATCTATGGAATACTAAATTAATTGCTAGAGGAGCTAATACTATTGGGAAAAAAGTTGAAATGTTAGAGTTAAATGAAGACATTTACTCAAAACACTATTAAATTATTTTTGAGAAATAATAAAATGAAACAAAACAAGATCAAGTAGATATAAAACAACCAGTTAGAAATACCAGAAATAAAAAAAAAAACATAACCATTGAAATGAAAATAAGACAAAAAAGCATAATCTCTAAGCTTGGCAGTATTAAAGATTACTGCGTAAATGTGATTTCTTGTTCAGAACATAGCATGGAGAGACAAAGAAATTGAAAGGTAAAATATAGATTAAAAGACAAGGATTAATTCAGAGATTCCAACATTTTTAATGGAATTCTGAAAAGAAGGAAATGGAGGAAAATAAATATTGGAACCAGTAATTATTAAGAATTTCCCAGAATTGGAAAAAAGTGAATTCTGCAAAATAAGTAGCACATATAAAAATAAAAGTAAAGCTATTACACATCTTACTAAAGACAAAGTCTCATCTCAATTCTGAGAATGGGAGACTATCTACAAAGCAGTAACTTTAAGGCCAATGGTAAATTTTTATTATCAGCATGAAAACCTTAAGACACTGAAGTAATACCTCACGAAGGCTAAGGTAACTCAGCCATATTATCAGAAGATAAATGCATAGTATGATATTCATATAAATATTTATTGATTGACTGATGGAATGCTAGGGATCAAACCCAGGGACCTATACATGATAGGTAAGCACTCTTCCTACCACTGAGCTAGCCCAAAATATAAACACTTTTAATGCAAAAAACTAGTACTTTATCTCAGGTCTGAGTTAAAAGTATCATGAATTGTTGCACTTTAACAGAAGAAAAGTTGTCTTGGAAGGAAGGAAGGAAGGAAGGAAGGAAGGAAGGAAGGAAGGAAGGAAGGAAAGAAGGAAGGAAGGAAGAAAGGAAGGGATACAAGAAACACTGAGCATAGAAACTGAAAAACAATCATTGTTGAATTCTCTCTCTCTCTCTCTCTCTCTCTCTCTCTCTCTCTCTCTCTCTTTGAAAAAGGAACAAAGAAGAAATGGAGACTCGGGTCTCACAAGCTATATTTCTGCCCCTTAGCAGGAACAGGGGGCTTTTAAAGAGCTTATTCAAAAGCAACATTCCACCTGTTCTTTGTTACAGTAGTAAGTCACTGTTAATTTGGGAGAGTCATTTCTCAGATCTTCTGATAACCATCCCTAAAGTCTGGATTACTTCATTCCTATGGTGGGTGTGTAATCAAGGACAGATCAATCTGCCTAAAATGGGGAAGAAAGGTAATCCCATTTTCCTGAGATTAGGGAGGAGAGAGATTAGGCAAGAATAGAGGAAGAGAAAGAAACAAGTCCATTATAAAAATAAGTTCCAGGGGCAGAGCAGCAAGAGCTATATTTAAAGCATAAAGGGACCACTGTGACATTTTCTCCACTGTCAGCTTCTACATTCCATTTCTATGGAAAAATGGGCAATAACA